ATAGAATAACAAAAATAATAAATATTTACTAAAAGGTATTTTTTACATGCATTTGTCTTTGGAAAAACGAATTTTATAATTGTGTGGTGTAAAAAAATTTGCAATCGGCTTAAAAAGTTCTCGAGATTTAACAAAACAGGCAAGAAGAAAAATTGCCATTAAGGCGATCAAACTTTCGACCTATCTCATATCTAAACTATTCAGACCGTATTTCTTGAATTAAACCCCAATAGTTTGAGGGTCATCCATCCAAATCGGTCGGAAAAAAGGAATGTTTATACTGAGAAAGTACGTTGTTGTATCAGATTTAAAATTCGATTGCACTCATTAATTAGTATATTTGAGGTTACCTCTTAAAACCATTAAGATTCAATCCTACCAAAACGTGAAAATCCGATCATTAGATCAAAAGTTATTTAAAATGGCTCATTTTTTAAATTTTTTATTTATTTTAAGCATTGTATTTATATTTTTAATACGTGAAAAGAGGAAAAAAAAAAAGAATTCTATCTTCAAACTCGTTGTGTTTTTGTAACTTTTTTTAAAAATTAAAAAAAAAGTGGACTTCTGCAATACATAATACATATTTTACGAATTTGCTTGTGGGAGTGAGCCAAGTGACCCAAATGTATTTTTTTACGTATAGTCAAACGTCACATTGTACTTGTGATCATGCGTCATGCGAAAAAATAAATGAAAATATCTAATCTTAACGCAAAATTTGAAAATGTACTTTAAATGCTTTGTTATAACATGTAAAAAAAGGAAATGTTTGTTTTCTTATTATTAATTAATTCACTTTTTTTTGAACAAAAAATTCACAGAATTTTATAGTTCTATCAGTATCATATCCCCTTTACTTAAAAAAAAAATAAAAAAAAAATAAATAAAAAAACAGTTTGTAAGAGTTATCTGCAGAGCGTGGGAATGCTGCAAGTGCAAGATAAAACGATTTTGTCTCATTACCTAAAATAAAAATTGTCTCCTTCTAAGGTATGTTTATAAGTTTTTATTTTTCGTATCCAAATTAACAATAAAAACGTAATCGGATTTAAGTTTTTACGTGTTTTAAATGTAAAATTACTTTTTTTTTTATGTTTTTGAACTAAAAAAGGCATGATTTCTCTTTTGATAAAATTTTAATTCGGTTGTTTGCTGTTAGGATTCGAATCAATTTGTCATCAGCTATGCATTAAAACTATTGCAATATGTAGATTTGTAAAAACGTGCCTAAGTCCTTATACAAGTGATCGGAAGTAGTGCACTACGTTTACTGAAACAGCTGTAATCACTTCTTTTTAAAAAAAGTAGTGTAGTGTATTGTACGATACAAAGAAACGATAGTTTATAGAGATTTCTATCAGAATGTTAATTTAGTTAAGAAACAAGGTTTTAACGCAACGAATTTTTCAAATTTGGTGGGTACATATCTTTGTAGATATTTTAACTAGCCATTAAGAATAATTGACAATTTATCACTTTGGTCACATTCTTACACGCGGATGTACAGTGCACAAAATAAATAACGGATTACTCTGAATAACTTTTGATCTATTAATCGGATCTTCACATTTTGAGACTAAAGGTTTTAGGTGATGGCTTGAAATATGCTAATTAATTAGTGCAGAATATATTTTAAAGTTACAAACTCATACACAAAGACGTAGTTCCTCTGAATAAGCATATCTTTTTTTCGACAGGGCCGAATTTCTGACCCACAAAATATAGGGAGTAATTTCTCGAAATATGGTCCCCATGTCTCGAGAACTTTTTTAGCGAATTGAAAAATTTTTGCACACATTTATAAAATTCATTTAATCGAAGATAATTCTATGAAAATTATAACCTTCAGTAAATATTTATTATTTTTGATTATTTTATTTAACAATAGTCGAAAAAATTGAATTGCAAGACATAAAATTTTTTACATCATTTTAAAGAATGTAATTCAACGATGCAAAATCGCTCAAAGTACAAAATTTGAGCGAAATTCGTAGAATAGTTGCTAAGAAATCTAGTTTAGCATAAAACATAATTTTATGTAAAAGAATTTTGAATTGCAAGACAACAATTACTTATATTTTTCAAAAGGATGTAATTATGCATGGTAAAATACAAAATGTGAGCAGAATCGGTCGAATAGTTTCTGAGAAATCGAATTATAAAAAAAGTCGTATTTTTAAAATGTAATTTCTCAATAACTATTTGTCTAATTTCAATCAAATTTTGTACTATGTCCTTTAAAATTACGAGTACATTCTTTGAAATAATGTAAGCAATCGTATACTTAACAATTCAAATTTTTTTCCGACTATAAGTAAAATAATACAAAATATAATGAATAAAATATAATTAATATTAACTAAGAGTTATATTTTGCGTGGAATTATCTATAGATAAACGAATTTTACAATTATGTGCGAAAATTTATCGTTTCGCGTAAAATGTTTACGAGATAGTGCGAAATACGTAAAAATTAAAATTAACTTAAAAGGATCCGAACTTTAAGACCGCACTTCTGACTAAACTATTGGAACCATATTTTCCAGATTGCGGCAATACCCCATATTTTGAGTATCATAAATTCGAATCCAACGAAAATAAGGCACATCTTTATTCAGAGAAATTACATTTTTGTGTCTAATTTTGAAACTTAAAATATCGACTATGCTAATTAATTAGCGTATTTGAGGTCAGCCCTTCGAACCATTAAGATTGAGTTTTAGTACGTGGAAATCCGATTATTAGATCAAAATTCATATTCAGGGTGTTTAGTTAATTTTTTTTGCGCACTGTACCAATTTTCTTTTTCTAAGATTGTGTCAATTTGAACAGTATCAGTCAAATAGTTCTTGAGAAAGGAAAACTTAATACGTTTCTTTTAAACCTACATTCATGAGAAACTTTCATTAACTTTTGGAGAGACAGTCTTCTTCTTCTTCTTCTTCAGCACGACAGCCCCTTACAGGCCTTGGCTGCCTCAACCACACGTAGCCTCCAACGCCTTCTGTCCATGGCGACTTTTTTCCAGTTGTTGGAGAGACGGTATAAATGAATAATTTCAGTATATCTCATAATATATATATTTTTTTATATAGGCTTCACCAGTGCTCGAAATGGTTATAAAAATATTATTTTTGCTGTGGCTGGTATGTGTGACAGCAGAACCGAGTTGTCCTCCGAATGAAAACATAGCTCCATCATGCATATGCAGGGTGTTTGACACTTTCTCCGTAATGACATGCAACAACATAATGAGTACGGATCAGTTAATTCGACCCATCAGAGCTACGCAGGGTTATGAGATATTCTCAATCGTTATAGAAGATTCTTCTTTCCTTTGTGTATTAT